GCCCTCTTCTTCTTTTTTTTTTTTAACTACAACAGTTGACAGTTTTATTTTCACATTTCACAATACAAATGAAAACTTCACTTTTTTTGTCCCACTTCTCTCCTCCGAAACTACTTTTATTTTTAATTTGTTTTAATAGGAAGGGGTAGAAAAATCTTTGACATGCTGTTAGAAAAAGTTACAGCACCATGATCTCCTGGGGAAGTAGAGCAAGTTAATACAAAACTGACCTAAAGAGTCTTCCCCCGATCCTTATCCGTCTGGCCGAGTCATTCCTGGCAGAGTGGGCACCATGTTGGGCTGGGGGGAGGGTCTCAACATTGGGGGCCCAGACATCACGGGCATGTGGCCTCCCACGGGTGGCCTCATTCCAGGATCAGATCTTATTGGCATCATCCCAGGAAGAGGAGAGTCCCCCACGAGGGGCGCGGCCCTCATGCCAGGGCGAGGAGGACTCAGGGGGGCTGTGGGGAGGTGGGATCATTGCCTCTGCAGGAGGAGGAGCAGAGAATGGAGTAGGAGGTCTCTCCCCCTGTTGAAAGGCAGCGGTTGTTTTGTTAATCAGGCTTTGAGCCTGCTCTTCCATCCATTTCTGACAGTAGTCTTTCACATTCTCTTTGTGTTTCCTAGCCCTGCAGTGTGTTTTTCTCACAGACGGAGAATCACGGGTGAGGTATGTATCACAGTAGTCACAATACAGCTTAGGCGTGTGGCTCTGTAGGCCGTTGACAACTCCGTTCCCCAAGTCCTCTTCTTTTACTAAGAGCAGTTCAGCTGTTTGGCTCAACAGGCCAAATTCAGTAGGATACAGTAGAAAATAAGTTTATTCTTTCTCCCCATTGTCCCTTCCAATTGGTTCTATATAAATTGTTACTTCTCCAATCTTTGGATGAAAAGTTCCACGACTTTTTTAGTCATCCTTAGATAACCCACAAAAAATCATCAATTATATTCAACGTGTGTTAGAAAGAAAAATACAAAACTCCTAAATACTCTTAATTTATAATTGTCCATGTCAATGAAGCAAAAATCCTATTAAAGCTAATATGGGGGCTGGCAGGTAGTGTGGTGATTAAAGGCACTGGATTCCCACATGGCCCACCATGGTTCGAGTCCTGGACCTGGTGGCTTGTTTTCTCACTTTTCTTCTCTCTCTCTCTCTGCCTGATCAATCTGGAAAATAATAATAATAATAATAATTATTTTTTAAAGAATTATTTTATTTAACTTTATTTATTTAAATTTGACCAGAGAGGGACAGAGTGAAAGAGGAAAAGTGAGAAAGTGAACTACCAGGTTCAGGACTCGAACTGCAGCCAGCCATATGGGAGTTCAGCACCCTTAACCACCATGCCAGCTGCCAGCCCCAATAAAATAATTATTTACAAAGAAAGCTAATATGAGGAGCCAGTAGGTGGCATGGTGATTAAGGTGCTGGACTCCCACTCGGCCAACTCAGGTTTGAGTCCTGGATCTGGCAGTTTGCTTTCTCACTTTCTCTCTGTTTCTCTCACTCTCTGGTGAGCACAAGTATTCTGTGACAAAGTGAATAATAATAAAAATAAATAAAAGAAAATTTTAAAATTCTTTAAAAAAATCTCATATGAAAGAGCAGGTTATAAAAAGAAGTATAACTTTGTTTTAGAGGGTTTTATAGAACTTTTTAAAAATCAGCTTCATCGAAGTATAATTAATATACAATAAAATTTAGCAATTTTATTTGTATAATCTAATGAGTTTTTCATTGAAATTTTTAGTGAAGTAGCAGTAGATTTTTTTTTTTTTTTGAGAGGTTTTCGCTATAGGGCGCGTGCGCTCGCCAGACAGAGAGAGAGAGAGATAGAAAGTGAGAAATCATCCCCCAGGGGGGATGGTCATGCTGCAATCCCTTCTCCTCCATTCTCCTCTCCGGATCTTGGGCATACATGCACATGCACCCGGCGTGAGTTTTAAGCCACCGGGTCCGGGACGCGAACCACAGTCGACTACATGGGAGTCCAGCGACACAGCCATTATGCTAACTGCTGGTTCCCAGGTAGCAGTAGATTTACATACAGTTGTAAGAGGTATTACAGAGAGATACCAGGTACGTTTTACCCAGTTCTCCCTAATGGTAACATGCTATAACATATATCACAACCTGGCCATAGAGAGAGATTTTTGCTGTAGGGTGCATGCACTTACTGGAGAGACTGAGGAAGACAGAGAGACAGAGGCAAGAAATTACCCCCTAGAAGGGATGGCCATGCCACAATCTCTTCTCCTCAATTCTCCTCTAGGGATTTTGGGCACACACGCACATACTCCCAGCATGAGTCTTAAGCTGCCAGGTCTGGGACTTGAACCATGGTCAACTCTGTTGGAGTACTGTGGCATAACCGTTATGCCATCTGCTAGTCCCAGAGCCCATATTATCCTACTTCTTTGCCTGTTCAGTAATTTTTTTCTTGGATGCTGGACATTGTAAATTTTACATGGTTGACTACTGGGTTTTGATGCATTCCTTTGAAGAGCATTGGATTTTGTTTTAGAGCACAAATCACTTGGATCCTTTCAGGGTTTTCAGAGCAGACTTCAGTCTAGGGTTAATTTGGGCCCACCCATATTTCTAAGGCAACATGCTTCTGAGAATCCTATTTAATGTCCTGTGTATTAGGAGGTCTTTCTATTTTGGTAAGAGGGGATGCAATTATGTGAACTCTAGGAACTATTCTGGTGACTCCTTGGTTACAGACAGACAGCTTTGCTTAGGACTTTAAAGAACAATATTAAAAACAGAAACTAAAGGAAAAGATTTGACAACATAAAATTTTCAAACCTCTCTTTTGGTTTCCCCTTAAGTTCATTTCAATTTGGCTTTTGTTTCTAATTGACTTGAGGCCAGTTTGTAGAGGGAGAATATCAATGGGCTCTGGGTCTGAAGCCAGCTCTGCCTCTCACTCTGTGATTGGGGAGAAAGTCTCTCCTTTGAGTTTCAGGTTTCTGACCTGGAAATGAGGGGACTGGATAAGGCATTGCTGGAAGCCTTCCAGCCCTAACGTCCTTCTCCCCAGCCGGGCCGTACCAGTTTCTCGCTAGTCTCCTTGCCCCTTTAATAACTAACTCTCAGGGACTCCAGCTCCACCCCAGGGCAGCCCTCTTATTCCTATTTCCCTTTTAAAATATAATTTAGTTTTTATTTGATTTATGGACTCGGTCCCAGTCACTGAACTTCATTCGGCTTGGACGGCTTATTGATTTTCAATAACAGCAGGGCAGAAGAATAAAGAGATGACAGCGGCACTTGGCTGCAGACTCAGGGCCGGCCGAGGCAGGCAGGAATTAATCATCTCCAGGCTGATCACTCAGGCTGTCCCTGGCAGGGTGGCGACCCAGGGAGCTCAGCCAGCCTGCGACAGCCCAGCAAGCTGCACAGCGATTGTCTATTTCTGATAACATGAGCTCACCCAGACTGCCCGGCCTGGGATCTAATCCCAGCATCACCCGAGGTAAGTCACTTACCCATTCAGCTCCTCCCCTCCGAAGAGGAAGAGCTGGAAGACTTTCTAAGGTTAGCTAGATGGAGGCCACACTTTTCTGAACAACAGGGAGGAAGAGACGGCCATGTATAAGGTGCCAACATTGAATAAACGAATGACAAAAGATGAAGAGGCAGATGGGCTGGCTGAGTAGGGGATGCTGATTTCAGTGTGGCTTTTCTTGGCTGCCTGCAGCAGCTAAAAACAGTAAAAGTCCATTTTTATTTCCCCTAAATAAACGTAGCTGGGCTGACCCTGTAGCACAATGGTTAAGAGAGCCAGATTCCCCACGGCCAACTGCAGGTCAAATGCTGGCCCTGGTGCCAGGATGGGCATGTTAGGCATGTGAACAATATGTGCTTTAAAGCCCAATGTAGAGAAAAGGAGAAGAGATTGCAGCATGACCATGCACCATCGCTGAGGGGGAGGAATCGCCCTCTTCCTCTGTCTCTCTCTCTCTCTCTTCTGATGAGCTTGTGCTTATGCACCTGGCAATGGAGAAAAAGAGAGAGAGAAAGAGAGAAGAAATGCACCAAGTGTTCTTTGACCTCTGGGCTTTCATATGCACTGTTCTTTGGATGATGTTCCAGCCCTCTCTTTGCTGGCTAACTCCTGTTTTTCCTTCAGATCTCCTGCTTCTCCTTCCTCCTCTGGGAAGCCTTTTCTGATTTTCCCTCACCCCACCCTACCTCTGATTAGGTGCCCCCACCCATGGCTCTTACAGGTTCCTGTGCTGACCCCGTTATGACATTCATTGCACTACAGTACAACAGTTACAGCAACACTTTTACAGCAATAACAATGGTTTATTCTCTTCTTTGAAATAATAATTATTTATTGAATTTTTTGGTTATTTTTTAATTTGACAAGAGAGGGAGAAAAAGAGAAAGTGAAAAAGCAAGCCACCAGGCCCAGGACTTGAACCACGGTAGGCCATGTGGGAGTCCAGCACCCCAGCCACCATGCTACCTACTGGCACCAGGTTCATTTTCTTAACTGTATCTCCTACTTAACTCCCAGCTCTGCAGGGGCACACTGTGCCTGCTTTGTTCCTCCAGTGTGTGGTATACAAGAGATACTCAATAAATATTTGCTGAATGAGTGAGAGATAGTTGAAAAGAATAATTTAAAAAGTTATTCAGTGATTCACAGAATACAAGGGTCTTCAAAAAGTTCATAAGAAATGCATATTATGAAAAAAAAACTATGTGTGGATTTTGCTTTTTTCTGCATGAAAATAAATTCATACTTTAAGTTTGTTTTTCCCCAAACATTTTGAAGTTCTCTCCTATTTACTCAGCATCAATTAGTCACCTCCTGAGTGGGTGTCAAAGTACATTAATACCTTTTTAAAACCCCCTTGATAATTCCTCAATGGCATGTGCAGTGAAAGACCCAGAGCAGTCAGGTGACCAGCCCAAAGTCACACAGCCAGGATCTGGCTGGGCCATTTGGAACCTGAGCCTCCTAATTCCTAATTCCATTTCTACCTCTTTCTCACCAGGCGAACCTGACTGGTCCTCTTTCTCCCATGGGCCCTACAGTTTGTTCCTGTTTGTGATAAGAGGACCAGACAGTGGTTCTTAACCTGTAAGAGTCGACGAAAGCTAGGAACTGGAACCCCAAGGAAAAATTCACACACAATTTCTTGGGTTCACAGACCCTGCAAACTCAAGCCGCAGCCCTCAGGTTCGAGGCCCTGACTACCCATCTGAAGGCTGCTAGCTCTCAGTCTCTGGATGGTTTTATGAATCACCCACTGACACGGGGTTTTATGAGGTGGCAATTTTTTCTACTCATTTTTCAAAGTCTCAATCTCACCTCCTTCCCAGCTGGCAGTGGTTCTTCCCTGCTGAGAGACCCTCTTAGCCCCCAGACCCCAGGGCCCTGCCAGACTGCAGCTGTCACACCATGCCCTGGTCCTGATTTATTCTCCATGGTGTCTCTCTGGATGAGAAGTTGTGCATAACAGCAGGGACTCAGCTCTGATAGAAGAAATGGCCAAATTTAATCCTTAACAAATAAAACCACTGCCGTTCAGTAATTCCCTTGGTTGGTGAAAAATGAGGTTTCCTTGCCGCAGCAAATGTGGAGGGCGGGAGATGTGAAGATGCACCCTCTTCCGTCTGTGGAAGAAATCGTAGCAATATAAATCAGTGAGATAGATAACCTTCTCCTCTATTCATTATCTGGGCAGGCCAGAGCTAATGTGTTTGTTTTTTAAATCCTCTGTTATCAGCCACCCTTTCCCCTTAAGGATGGCTGCACTTTTCTGAAAGCCATCAGAAACATTGCAGCAAGGACACAGAACTTTCAGTTCCTGAGATTATACTAATTTCCGAGTCTTGGATGCCACGCAGAAAACTTTACCCTATAGGCCAGCGAGTCTTATTTGGGACATCCAGCAGACTCTTAGGGAAGGCGCTGGCGAGGGCGCAGTCTCATGTTAGAAACATCATCCCGGCTGTGTGTAGGGATCCTTCAGAGGGACCAAGGAGGCAGGGTCCAGATGAGGGTTGTGGAAGAAGCCTAGTGCAGGCAGGGAAGAGGTCTGCAAGCCTAGGGAGAAGCCTTCTCTTGTTCCTTATTGTCTCTGCAATAAAACGGCAGCATGCCCACTGAAACTAGATGCAGATAGGACCCTCTCCCTTCCTGCAGCTAGAAATCCGTGGAGATGGAAGGGAAAAAGCTTTACAGGGAGCTTCCTGAAAGACTCTTCTTAAGAGGCTTCTAGACCAATGGGGCCTTCTTGCCCTTCTCCATGTCTTCTTGCTTCCGGTCTAGAATGCAGACAATATGGCCGACACTACAGCTGCCTCTGTGCAACCACAAAAGGAAAGGCCAGGAGAACCGCAGACCTCAGCTCTGACACATGTGCACAGCTGAGTCCATGCAAGTCACCGCCTGCTTCTGAACTCATGTGAGAAAAATCCCCGCGGGGCAGTAAGTGGAGAAGTTCTGTAGACAGGCGGATGGATAAGTCTGGAGCTCTGGAGAGTCATCGCAAGATACCTGGGGAGATAGAAGACATGTGAGTGGACGAAGCGATTCAGGGAGCGGATAGAGCAATAGAAGATAGGACACAAGAGAAAGTGGTTCTGGAGAACATCGATATGGAAAGAAACAGGCTGAGGAACATGCACCTGCAAAGAGGGAGCAGCTGGGGAGAGGGGACTGCTGGGGAGTATGAGGTCTCAGGAGCCAAATGAGGACAGAGACCCTGGTAGTAGCAAGTGGTCAATGGTACATGTGACAGGGAGGAGCCCATGGCTGACACCAGAGAAAGGGACTTGGGTCATCTGACAAAGGTCCTGACGATTCTGCCCTGAGACGCTCATGTAGGTATGTCTGCCCAAAGGCCCTGCTGGTCCCTCCAGATCCTCCCTATGGAATGAGGGCATTTCACAGGCGGCAGCTCTCAGAAGTCCCCACAGAGAAAAAAGACAATGGAGGGGGATATACTCTCCCCCCAGGGTCTTGTTCAGGAGATATTTTGGGCATGAAAACTGCATGCATGCTTTTGCCTATTTCCAGCCTGCGTTCAGTGTGTTTGTTGACTTCGTCTGATTTGATTCTTCGTTGCTCAAAGGGCGTGTGTTCTGCCTCAGCTCTGCCCCAGTGCTCTGTGGGGCCTCAGGCAACTCACTTGACAAGTTGAAGGCAGAACAGAGGCAATTTCTCAGGCCTTCTGATTCCAAATCCATCAGGCCTCCACACCCACGCGTGGAACATTTCTAAGGTCTGGGTTTTAACAAACGTATCGGAGGTTGGCATGCTGCCAATGTTTTGCTGGCTCTGGGAGAGAACCAGGATATTTTTTTGCAAATGGGATACTCCATCGTGTAGAAAAACAGATCTTTTCAGGAGGAAAAACATCTGGAGTTACATAGCATAAAAAGAGACTAAAGGCCAGGTTACAAACTCAACGCACGGCTCTCTGGGTTTTAATGATGCTCAAAGATTTGAAGTGTTCAGCAAATCTATTTGTGGTTCCTCCGACTTTCAGTGTTTCCCTAGGGAGATGCTGCTAGATTTTCTGTCTTGTTTAACCCAGTAGGATTCCTGGATATGGATGTGTCTTCTGGAGCTTGAACAAACTCCCCAGGAAAGCTATAGACAGTCTAAGTCACAGAAAGATGCTTCTAAAAATAGAAATTGCCCAGCCTGGAAAAAAAATAAAGAAAAGAGAAGGAATTACCTGGCAAGTATGTGGGTCTTGGCCTACTCAACCGTACCACGCAGGCCACCCCGTTCTTAAAACCAGGCCTGAAGTTCTCTGGAAAAAGCAGCCCAAATTGAAGAGTATGTGGGGACTTCTGTGCATGGCATAACTGCGGTCAGAAAATCTAGCAATGAGCAGAAGTTTGAACAAAGACCGGGGGCGTGATGAGGAGAGCATGACTAAGCACTGAAAGCTTGGGTAGGGTTTGACCAAAGAGGCAGAAAGGGTGGGAAAACCAATCTCAGACTCAGGAAGCCCAAAGTCCAGCTCCAATTCACTACTGATCTCTCTACCGTTAGCCAATTTCTTCTCTTTGCTGGCTTGTTTTCTCATCTATGAAATAGACATGATACATGGCAAAGCCCTACCTGCTTCCAGAGTTGCTGGATAGAGATTTGAAAGTTGTATGGATGTGGGGAACTGGCCCATATAAACGAACCCAGTGCTTCAGTGAAGAGCTCAGCTAAGCAGGTCTGGAGAGCCTCAAGGACTCTGTGGGCAGCTGGGGCCGGGGGTGGGCGAGGGGCACTTTTCCATACAGAAGCATAAGGTTTCTTCTAGAAAGAACTCCTCTGGTGCCCATTGAATATTCTCATCGGAGTCCTCCACCTTACTCTGCAGTGCCTGAGGTTTACCTGAGAACAGGTCTCTCTCAGTCTAATCACGAAAAGGTGAAGCCTTGGAAGCCTAAAGATAGAGGAAGATAACCTACCTTTCTCCAGTGGCAGGGGCCACAACCAATGGCCTGTGTTTGGTGTGATTATGCCAAAACGAGAGAGAAGATTTATTGGCAGGTATGTGTCCAGAGTTAGAAAAATTGGTTTTGTCTTCACAGTCACACAGTCAAATCGTCTTCTGTCAAAACAGTCCCTGTGTTCAGAAAACATCTTGCCCCCTTGGGAACTTCTGAATTTTGTGTGTGATTATATGCATAATGTGTGTATGTATATGTAAATCATGTATGAGCATGCATGCACTGCGTGCGTATGTGCATGTTTACATATCAAGTGTATATGTATGCAATTCGTGTGTGTGTTCATGTACCTGTGCACCTGTGTGCTATGCATGCATGTGTGACAGTGCATGTTTATATATAGCTATGTACATGCATGTGTGTGTGTGTGTGTGTGTGTGTGTATGTACACTCTCTCATGAGGAGGGAGGTTTGCTCAGATGTACTGAGGCCAGCGGGTGACTTAATAAGCCCTGGGTCTCCTTGTCCAACATGCTGAGCAACAGAAATGGCAAAGCCTTTCTAAACCTGAAAGACAGATGAGTTCATTTCCAGGGTTTGCCGTGAATCGGTGGTTCCTGGAATGGCTAATGGCTCAGAGAAGCAGCATTTGCATCCAGCGGAGCCAGAGTGGCTGTGGGATGAGTGGCTGAGGGGTGATTTAGGAGAGCTATTTGGGAGCATCTACCATTTTCCAATAATGCCTGAGAAATTGCCTCTCCAGAGAAGAGAAATTTCAAGAGGGCCTGGAGCAGTGATGGAGGAGACTGGAGAACACACAGGTTTCTCGTGTCTGAGCAGCACAGTCACGGGCCTCCGGAAAGCCTGATGTTCCAGCCACCTCCAGGCCGGTTGGCTCCATCGATTGGCTGCCGCTCCGCCTGTGCCCCGATCTGCACACGCGCTCATCTCCCCGCAACTCCCCCGGGCCACCCACGACATCTATCTGATGAAATTAGTACTTGAAATACAATAAAGTGATTAGTTCACTTGACTGTGACAAACATATTTAATCTTGGCGGATCGATAGTGTCAGAAAACCAGCACCATTAGTTAAATTATGCTCTGGACTCAGAAAAGCAAACGGCCTAATTGAAGAAGGCAAACTCCCAAGGCTTCCATTTGAGCCCAGGTGCTTCGCACCGTGTGGGTTTGGAGGGCTGCAATTTGAACTGTAGCCATAGCCCGCTTTCTGCTCAGCTATCACCCTCTGAACCTTCTCTGGGCCCCGTTTGTGCCTTCTGTCAGTTTAGTGCAGAGATTACAAGGAGAGACTCTGGAGTGCAACCAGTTCAAATCGGCGCCACTTACTACCCTACCATGAGCAAGTGACTCAGCTTCTCTGTGCCTCAATTCCTTCATCTGTAAAATGGGGGTGTTGGTAATAGTATCCAAGTCCTTGGGTGGGGCAGACGAAAAAGACCTGGCCTGGGATCTTGTCTCATTTTCTCAGAGCCACAGTTGGACTACTTTGGCCCCTTCCCTCTCAGGTCAATTTTGGTGGACACATGCAAACCACAGCAGCCAAATACAGAAGGGTAATGTCTCCACATCATCATATTCCTAACCTAAACACAAGAGCTGCAAAATCCCTTTTACCATGGGAGCTAACACAGTCACAGGTGTCAGGATTAGTATATGAACATGTGAGGGGAGTGCCATTGTTCTTACAGTCCCAAAGCTGAAATGAGACTATGGAGTCATTTTCTCCAGCAAGACTTGAAGCCATCAGAAGTGAAGTGGTCCTTAAATCATGAGTTGGGCTTGGGCTTCTGGTGAAGGGAGAGGTAGAGGGAGGACATTCCAGAAATAATAGGAGCGAAAGCCTGGAGGTGCAAGACAGTGTCGTGAGTGAGTTCAGAGAACACCATGGCTAGAAAGAAGCAGCTGAGACAGGGAAGTCATGCTGGGTGTCATGCTTTGGTGATGGGGAACCACAAAAGGATTTTAAACAAGGAAGCAGTCTAATCAGATTTGAATTTTATGACAATAGTTCTGGCTACAAGGTAAGGGGTTGATAAGACAGGATGAATCAAGATCGAAGGACACACTAACAAGAAGGCTGCTTTGAGAGCCCTGATGAGAAGTTGGGTGGTACTCAGGACATGGGATTGATTAGCTATGGGGAGGGGGGTTAAAGGCAGGAGAAGGCTTAGACAATCCCTAGCAGTCTGGCATGGGTGAGTGGGTAGACAGCACAGCCTGATACCAGAAGTAAAGAAGTGTCTTATCTCTAAGCCTTTCCTCACAGTGGCCATGGTCTTAGGGCCACTGCGTTTGCATGCTCATGTGTGTTTGTGTGCTCCTGCATGCCTGTGTTGACTGAGGCAAGGCCAACTGCTCCGCCCCAGACAAGGCTGGTGTCTTCTGCAGAACACACTGCCTGTGCTCGGTGGCCTCTGTCGGCTGGGCTCCAGAGACATTTCCACAAGCTACAGACAGAGGCCCACATGACCTCGGAGGGACCGTAATTTCTACTCTTCAGGACTATTGTTGAGGAAAATCCACCTGTTTCCAATTACTCTGTGGATCAGGCTGATAAAATGTGGGACTGTAGGTAATTTCCAATGAATAAAACGTGTTGGATCTGGAGCTCTATTTAAGCAGCACAGTCTCCTGCACAAATGCTTCCTGAGGGGAACTCCATGACAAGAGGGACTGCGCCCCTCACCCTGGCTCCGGTTCCTCGGTTGGGGATTTGCCAGGGCTTGGCTAGAAAGGCTGTAAGACTCATCTGAGCCAGAGCCCACCTTGCCGTTGGTTCCACTCAACAAAAAACAGATCCCTGTGGTGGTCAAGCCATGAACTCTGGGGTCTCCCAGCTGGTTTCTGAGTTCAAGCTCTGTCACTTCCTAGCACGATCCTAGGGACAGTCCATCAGCTCAAGGGTAACCTCTTTGTAATATCAGAGCAAAGCACTGAACCCTTGTCCTTTTGTACCTGGGACCTCTCCTGGACATCCCATGCTCTTTGAGCTTTCTCCTTAATAGGAATGTGCCAAGGGAGAGGGAGAAAGAGCAATTAACACCTTTCCAGGCCCTGGGTGACCAGCCCTGCCCCCTGCCAATTACTGCATCAGGACCCACCTGTTCTTGACAGGGGTGACCAATTACCAGGAATAAGTGTGAAAGTGAGTCTGCTGCCCGGAGCCTCATTACCTGCCTTTCCATCAACCCGGAGGGGAGGGGGACCCAGATTCTGCTCCTTCCAGTGGGGGAGGATCCAGGAGAGACGAGGGATTTTCTGAGAGCTCACCCACCCTGGGATAAGAAGGGGCTCACTCTGCGCTGTCACTGTCATGAGACAGAGGCTTCTGTTCTATGTTTTTTAAAAAATTATACATGCATGTTCCTAGAAAACAGATGTTTGCCTCTTCTAGCCATTTATCCCTCTGGGTCCCAAGGAAAAACCTGGCTTTTGCTATCTCTTGATGGGGAGAAGCTGCTTGCAGGTATCAGTTGCTTCTCGGTTTTTGTTTTCCAAAACCTGAGCTGTCTGAGGGAGGAAGGGAGACAGGACTGGCCTGTGAGAGATGACATTCCCCATGACCAGAAGTGGGGACCTCCTCCCTGGACAGTGCCAGGGCCAGGTGATAGCCTCAGAAGGAAAAGGCTGAGTGCCCCGCAGAGGCTGGACTTTGCTTCCACAGCTTCCAGGTTCCACGAGGACCCAAGCATGGAGGCCTCAGGACGTACAGACCAGGAGGGCAGCCTTGAAACAGACTGGGGTCCCTTCTTCCCTCCCCCTGCTTCTTGCAAGCCTAGAGAGGGTGAGATGCTTCCCTTGCTCTACGAAAAACTGAACCTCAGTGTCCCACCAGCCTGGCAGAGGTTGGGGAGGAGTGATGGCCGAGAGTCTGATTTAGAGAAAATGACATGATTGGTCTCGCACATTCGAGTTTTTGAAAGAAGATATAGGGTGAGAAGGAAGCAGAAGGGGTCACCCAGGACTCTGGCTGAAGTTACTGAGTGCCTAAAGGCGGGTGCTGGATGGCGGTCCAGGGGTACAGTGTGATGCTCTGAGAGGCCGACCCACACGGGAATGTTTCAGGTTGGCATCCAGAGACCTGCCAAGTACACTGAGTGTGCATGCGCCCATGATCCGGGGCTGACTGAGGTCAAAGCTCTGCTGGCAGTGCTGTCTCTTCCTGTCTCTCTCATTCATGAAATAAACAGATAAATATCTTTTTAAATGATCAGGAAGAAATTCACTAAATATTAACAGTAGCTTTCTTTGGGAGGAGAAATTGTGGGTGATTACTCTTCTTTTCTTTTTGTGCTAGATATTCTATAAATTTGCTCTAATAGGATGTTTTACTTCAGTAATAAGAAAAACAACTGGGCCAGTCCATAGCTTAGCAGTTACAGTGACTAGATCCCACACAGCCAACTGCACTAGGACCAGGAAGCTTGGAAAACATGCCAGATGTGTGTGAGTGTGTGTGTGTGTGTGTGTGTGTGTGTGCACCCCGAATCTAAAAAGGAGTAAGAGAGTAAGAGATGTAGGAGAAAGGACTATGGCATGACCATTTTCCATGGGAGGGGATACTTCTTCACCTTCTCTCTCTGTCACTGGCAAACACACATGTCCTCTGACAGATTAAAAAAAGGAGAAATGAAAAAAAAAAAAAGAGCTAGGGGCACCTAGCGGGGGATCCTGTGAGTCAGACTGCAGTGGTCTCCAGGGGAGCTATTCATGTTCCTTGACAGCAGCAGAGATGGCTGACGTCATGAGCCAACTCCTTATCAGGCAATGTAGTCCCAAGACATCCAGCTTTCCCACCTCAGCTTCGCCTTTCGTTTGAGTCCTCCCACACCTAGGAATCCAGAAGGTACGTGTGTCTAAGGAGGGTGGGGCTGGGTGTGAGAGCCCACGATGCCTGCCACACAGGCTCATCCAAACAGCTGGAAAGAGCTAGAAACACAGGGAGACCCTCTCACCCAGAGCAGGCCTCCATTTAACAGCTGTTCAGTCCTTATGCCATGGGACTTTGGAAATTAATGTATTAGTTTTATTTTAGTGTGAAACATTTTTGAAATCCATGTACAGTCTTTCAAGACACATTTTCCATGAATCTTTAAAAAAATCCTTATAGATCTCTTCTGGACACAGTCTATTAGGAGTCAATTCTCCTTGAATTTCTCCTATTTCTACAAACCTTACAAGTAGAAGCACAGATAGCTTTGGCTCCCAACCAACTTTTTATGAAAGTTTATATAGTGAACAGCCTTGGGAGACAGAGATCCAACTCTCCCTCCAGAGGAGAGGGCAGATATGTTTGCTGCCCTGTATGACAAAGATACTGTCTCTTCTCTGACAGAAAGATAGGTTTGCTTGGAGGTCATTAAGAAGACTTGGGGTTGCTCAGTTTTGACATACCCCACTATGCATGCCACATCTACCTGGGCTGCCTTATACTTCTCCATGGACTTGGGGAGCAGGGGGAACTGATGTGAATATGCTCATACTGCTTAGTGTTCCATAAACAATAAAGTCTTTGGTCTCTGACCCAGGAGTTTCATGTCTTCTGCCAGCATTCATGAAACTGTGGCAGGGTAGCCTAATAGCCTGCAAGTAGGGCAAAATTTAAGACACTTCACAGGACCAAATTCAAGAGAAAGATCAAATTTTGTAGAAGCAAATTCCAATTTTCCTGATATGATGTAAAACCAAGAATGGTTCTAGAATTTGCTGAACAGCTATTGAGTGCCAGCCTTTATGTATTTCATTTCACTAGATCCTGCCAACTATGTGTAATGAGCCCCATTTTACAGATAAGGAAACTGACACTACTGACACTCAATTAGGTGAGGGAACTTGTCCAGGATGGACCAAATTAGAAACCTAATCTATTTTCATTCAGCCTTGGTGTCTCCCACTCGGCTCCCAGCAGTGCAAAGAGCTTCAAGCAGCCATGGGAAG